TCGGGCTGTATGGCCATTCTCCACCTGCATTTTCTCCTGATGTTTCACCTGCATCTGTGGCTGGCATTTTCCATGCAGCCCGAAAAATTCACAGCGATGTAAAGCACTCTCTCTTCAATGGAACGGTGTTTTGTATTCCTAACTTATATGAAGTGTTGGTTTCTAGGAAAGGCCAACATCATCTGAATGTGGGAAGGTCCTCTTGTTCCTTTGCCATTTCTGATGGCAAAGTTGTCTTAAGTAAAGGTAAAGGTAGTTCCCTGACATTAAGTCCAGTCATGTCTGACTCTGTGGTGTGGTGCTCATCTCCATTTCTAAGAAGTTCAACAGTGACAAATGCAAGATACTCCACTTTGGCAGAAAAAATGAAATGCAAAGATACAAAATGGGTGACGCCTGGCTCGAGAGCAGTACGTGTGAAAAAGATCTTGGAGTCCTCGTGGGACAACAAGTTAAACATGAGCCAACAATGTGATGTGGCGGCAAAAAAAGCCAATGGGATTTTGGCCTGCATCAATAGGAGCATAGTGTCTAGATCTAAGGAAGTAATGCTACCCCTCTATTCTGCTTTGGTTAGACCACAGCTGGAATATTGTGTCCAATTCTGGGCACCACAATTCAAGAGAGATATTGACAAGCTGGAATGTGTCCAGAGGAGGGCGACTAAATGATCACGGGTCTGGAGAACAAGCCCTATGAGGAGCGGCTTAAGGAGCTGGGCATGTTTAGCCTGAAGAAGAGAAGGCTGAGAGGAGATATGATAGCCATGTATAAATATGTGAGAGGAAGCCACAGGGAGGAGGGAGCAAGCTTGTTTTCTGCTTCCTTGGAGACTAGGACAAGGAACAATGGCTTCAAACTACAAGAGAGGAGATTCCATCTGAACATTAGGAAGAACTTCCTGACTGTGAGAGCCGTTCAGCAGTGGAACTCTCTGCCCCAGAGTGTGGTGGAGGCTCCTTCTTTGGAAGCTTTTAAACAGAGGCTGGATGGCCATCTGTCAGGGGTGATTTGAATGCAATATTCCTGCTTCTTGGCAGGGGGTTGGACTGGATGGCCCATGGGGTCTCTTCCAACTCTTTGATTCTATGATTCTATATGCTCTGTATCAAGAGCCAGTGTTGTCCGTAGACACCTCCAAGGTCATGTGGCCGGCATGACTGCATGGAGCGCCGTTACCTTCCCGCCGGAGCGGTACCTATTGATCTACTCACATTTGCATGTTTTCGAACTGCTAGGTTGGCAGAAAAAGTTGTCTTAATTTGTTCATATTTTAGCATCGGTCACATTTCTCTACAAAGAAGGAAAACCTGCAACTTTTAAATTTCATGGGATATTGAAAAGTCTTGAGAATTTACGATCCATTTGGATCTTAAGTCTTCAGTTTTGAGACGATCTCTGTGCCCAAAAGCAGGCTTGTTCCACTTGCTTGGAGAAATCATATGGTTAACAGCATCTGGAAGTCTGCATGATTCCCACTTGTGCCAAAATGTACTGATCCAGTTTATTCTTTAAATGATATAACTTAACATAGGGTGTAAATCGGAGGGTTGTAACCCAATGACTCCAATTGCACTCATACAGTGTTACTCAACCTTCCTAATGCCACGAACCTTTAATACAGTTCCTCATGTTGTGGTGACCCCCAACCATAACATTATTTTCGTTGCTACTGTAATGTTGCTACTGTTATGAATCGTAATGTCAATATCTGATCTGCAGGATGGATTTTCATTCACTGGACCAAATTTAGCACAAAAACCCAATACACCCAAATTTGAATACTGGTGGGTTTGGGGGAATTGGGAATTTGGGAATTGTATATTTCACCTACAATCTGAATTCCACCAACGATGGAATTGAACCAATCTTAGCACACTCCCATGACCTACAGAAAATACTACAAAGGTTTGGTGGGCATTGACCTTGAGTTTTGGAGTTGTTCACCTACATCCAGAGAGCACTGTGATGGATCTGGACCAAACTTGGCACAAATACTCAATATGCCCAAATGTGGCAAAATGTGAACACCAGTGGAGTTTGGGGAAAATAGACCTTGACATTTGGGAATTGTAGTTGCTGGGATTTATAGTTCACCTACAATCAAAGAGCATTCTGAACTCCACCAATGATGGAATTGAACCAAACTTGGCACACAAAACTCCCTTGAGCAACAGAAAATACTGGAAGGGTTTGGTGGGCATTGGCTTTGAGTTTTGGAGTTGTAGGTCACCTTCATCCAGAGAGCACTGTGGAGTTGAACCGTGATGGATCTAGACCAAACTTTATTACGGTATATTGCTTTAAGCCCAGTGTGTGTGTGTGTTAAAGCCTAAACAGAAAGGCCTTGCAAAGTATTAATGATTAACTGCAGTTGCAGAATGCTAGCTAGGCCACACCTTTTAAATGTAACAATTTGAGGCTTGTGCAGGCGGCTGGCAGTTGGAAGTTTGAATTGCTGGAGAGAAGAAGCAAGAAGCTTAGGTTATGGTGAAGTAACCATGTTTTATTTTGTTATGCTCTATGATTTAAAACACAGAAGATTTATTCTGTATTACTTACAGTGACTATGTAAGTGTGCCAAACTGTTTTATTTTTCAAATCTGCATCCAAGAGTAAAGTTCTACTGTTTTATTTCTTCTGACTGGTCTGTGTCTTTGGCATTGGGTTTTTTGGGCATATTGGACATTGCTACTGCGCAACAGATTGACTCAGAGGAACAAACTTGGCAAGGATACTCCATATGCCCAAATGCGAACACTGGTAGAGTTTGGGGAAAATAGACGTTGACATTTGAGAGTTGTAGTTATTGGGATTTATAGTTCACCTACAATCAAAGAGCATTCTGAACTCCACCAATGATGGAATTGAGCCAAACTTGGCACACAGAACTCCCATGACCTACAGAAAATACTGGAAGGGTTTGGTGGGCATTGACCTTGAGTTTTGGAGTTGTAGTTCACCTACATCCAGAGAACTCTGTGGAGTCAAACAGTGATGAATCTGGACCAAACTTGACACAATTACTCAATGGGCTCAAATGTGAACATCGGTGGAGTTTGGGGAAAATAGACCTTGACATGTGGAAGTTGTAGTTGTAGGGATTTATAGTTCACCTACAATCACAGCAGGAAGAGGTCTTTTGGTGGAAGGATTTCCTGTCTGTTTCCAAAAGAGGGAGAGAAGGACATGTGGAGATGTCTTCAGCCTTCTCTGCCAAAGGGGTTCCTAAGACCATCAGAAATATGTGTCTTCTGGTGGTTTTTGGTGACTCCTCTGGAACCCCCTCGTGGACCCTCCACGGGTCTTGACCCCCAGGTTGAGGAACGCTGAGCTAAATAAGGGTCGAACTATAAGTAAACAGCAAAACTTTTGGCTAGCTGCTATTAATGAGACAAAAAAGATTTCTGCATTTTTCCATCTCCTCCAAAGCAAAAGGACAACTTCCTGGCTTCTTCTTTTCCAAAAAGACCCCTTATTTATGTGCATATATTTTATGATTATGGAGATATTTTAATCCCAGCTGTGTCTCCTGGCTCCAGAATGACCCCACCTTCCCTTCTGCAAAGCGAGTTTATTTTTAAACGTAACCGCATCCTTCGGCAATAAGCCACTTCCAGGACAGCCTTCCGGCTGAGGTTACGAGCGAGCGTTCAGCTCCATAAAGCGGGAATTAAAACCCAAAGGCGTTTTGTTTGTTTTTTAAAGAACACGACTTTAATACAAAGACATCGACAGGGTTTCTCTATCTCTTTTTCCCTGTTCCGACCGGACAGTGGTCAGCAGAAAATAATGTACAAACTTAGAAACAGTATGAAGAAATATTATAAATATCGGAACGGGACATCATCTTCAATGCAAAAGGGATTGCAAAGAGAGCAGGGCTCAGAGTTTTGGGATACAAAGGCATATATAAACAGACAATTACACACACACACACACGTAACACACAGCGAAACTCTGGTTTGTTGTACAGAGGTAGGTGGATGCCTGCATGGCTCAACTCCTAGGTAATGTTTCCTATAGTCAGTTGATCTGGAGCTTGGAAGAGGTCCGATGTCAAGTCTGCTAAAGTCATTTCAGTTTCCTTTTCGGACAATAAATCGACACCTTAGACCAAGCTGGCTAAGATTCTGGAAGTTGTAGTCCATAAACCCTCTCCAGTGCAGAACCTTAATGGTTAAATTCCTATGTAAAGTTTGCTATAGCAAATTGAGGTCCCTTTTTGGGCCACAGCTTTGGTCAGAAGGGCTAGGGAGTCTGTCAATTGCAGTACATACATTTTCCCAAGTTCAGTACTTGCTTGTCATGGATCTCTATAAATTCCCTGCCAAGCTGTCAGTGAATGTCGTAAGCAAAGAATTATTATCACAGAAATACTCTTGTTTAATTTTGTCCTATATGTTTAACCCAGATCTGGGTCAATTTTTGCCAGCACATAATTCCCACTTCCAATTGATTTTTTTTGTGTCAGAAACGACTTGAGAAATTGCAAATTGCTTCTGGCATGAGAGAATTGGCCATATACAAGGACATTGTCCAGATGTTTTACTATCCTGTAGTAGGCTTCTCTCATGTCTATGTATGAGAAGCTGGACGTGACAGATGGGAGCTCACCTCACTTCCCAGATTCGAACTGCCAACCTTTCGTTCAGCAGTCCTGCCGGCACAAAGGTTTAACCCATAATATCTGTGGCCCCTGTGCTGGCAGGACTGAAGACCGACAGGTCGCAGGTTCGAATCCGGGGAGAGGCGGATGAGCTCCCTCTATCAGCTCCAGCTCCTCATACGGGGACATGAGAGAAGCCTCCCACAAAGATGATAAAAAAAACATCAAATCATCCGGGCATCCCCTGGGCAACGTCCTTGCAGACGGCCAATTCTCTCACACCAGAAGCGACTTGCAGTTTCTCAAGTCGCTCCTGACATGACAAAAAAAAAAACACAAACAAACTGGGGGCTCCTCAAAGGAAAATAAACCCCACTAAAATGAAATTCTGCAGTGCACATACAGAAGTGGACAGGGATTAGAACACAGGTCACTTCCATCTTAAAGTCCACATTAAAGCCAACAATGTGCATCAATTCTTGCACCAATGGAGGTCAAATGGCTCTGACTTCCCATCAAAGAATCAAGGAAATAACCCCATGTGAATCCAATGCAAGCAGAGGGAGTGAAAGAAGCATAGTTCAACTGAAACAACAAAGATTCGTTGCATTGGAAAGGCATCAAAATGAGGTCATGTAACTCAAGGAACAAAAAGGATCAGAACCCACCAGGAAATAAATCAGAGGGGAAATTTGCTGCAACCCACCTTTACTCCTAGGTTGCAAACAGGAGGAAAATACTCACAGGTGTTTTAATTTAGCAAGACATGGACAATGAAAACCACCTGTAAAAAGGTTCATTGAAACCTAATAATAATAATAATAATAATAATAATACCCTGTTTGTCAATAGCAGCTTGTTATCCACATTTGTGACCCCTGCTTGAAAGCAAAAGGCTAGAGCGTGGCAATATGCCCTTTTGGGGACTACAACTCCCAGAATCCTCCAGCCAGCCATACCCAAAAGATAACATTTCCACATTCTGGGATGGAGAGGTTCATGAACAGGCAACAGAGAGCAATCGTCTGATGGAAGATTCACCCTAATAGGATCCGATAGATCCCCATATCCTTGCACTGGGTTTCTGGGAACATTTAGCACAGATTTCATTACTCTGCCCAGTTTTGCTCCTGCTGGAAAGATGCCCTGCCCCAAAAATGCCACAATGGGTGTCTGAGCGCACCTGGCTCTCTGCTGGGCACCCAGGTAGATTCCAGACAAAAGCAGCTTGCAATCCAGTGGCTGCCTCACAATGGGTTTCTGATTTCTACAGCAATCTCGCCCTCAAGATTTCCCATTGTTACCCAACTGGGGTTGTGTGCCTTTGCTATAAACCTTCTCTGTGTCATTTGGCAACCCAAAGCAAAGCAAAGAGGTGAATGGGTGGATGGCATTCAGGGTCCAGAGACTGTTGGGAATAGAATCGCAGTTAGAAGAGACCTCCAAAGGCCATCCAAGCCAACCTCCTGCTATATAATAACACACTCCAGAAAGATGCTCATCCAGCCTCTATGGGAAGACCTCCAAAAAAGGCAAGTCCATCACCTTCGGATGTGCTCTTGGAGCAAGGAAGCTTTTCCTAGTATTTAGGTGTCCTCTCTTGTCCTGCAGTTTGAATCTATTGCTCTGTCTGTGTCTTAGTTTCCAGAGCAGCAGATTCAAGCTTGCTCCATTTTCAGGATGACATCATTTCAAGTATTTAAACATGGCCATCATGTCACTTCTCGGTCTTCCCTCCTCCAGTCTAAACACACCCAGCTCTCGAAGTCATTCCATATACATTCCAGCCAAGTTCATTCAGGATTTCTCTGCTAGGTTGGCTTTGCAATATTTACATTTACAGCTCAGCCACTGTGACACTTCCTAGATCTGTTTGACAGCACCTATCATTCCCAAGAACCTATGTTGCTTGGGGATGATGGGAGTTGAAATCAGATGCCATTGACAGTAGTGACAAATCCTGAAAATAGGAGAAATTCTATGGAACCATCCAATTTTTCTATGTGAGGGGGTTTAATTTGGGAGCAAGGTATAGTTCAATGTTTGAGACTTTAGCTCCCAGCATCATGGGCTATAGTAACTAACATTTGGGGGATTATAGTCCCAACACATTCTAGAGGGCCATGCCTTGTTCCCTAAATCTTAATACATGAAGGTGTTCAAACCATCTTCTCTTTGCAGTGGGATTATTCTGACCTATATCATGAAGACCTGGTTTATTTTGGATGAAAGATCCCTGATCAGAGTTACTGCAAAAAAACACATACACACACATGCACACGTAAGACGATGCTTCCCAAAAGGGACCCCCTACAAAAACCATGCAAAACAGCTGCAAAACTTTCCCCACCACGGTCAATAGCAAAACAGACACAGAGAAAACCATCTTGGGAAGGAAGGCCTTGCTCTCTTTCCATTCATCCTCCGCGGGCCAGCTATACGTTGGATACCTTTTGGCACTCCCTGGCTTGGCGCAGTCCGTACAACCACTTGATGACCCGGGCGTTGCGCTCGACGATGGAGATGCCGTAGGGCATGCGCTCGGCCTGCCGCTCCTCCAAGGTGACGGCGCTGCGCCGGGAGCGGGTCCCTTCGGAGCTGGCCGTGCTGACGCTGTGGAACTTGACGGACACAATGTCCGAACTGGCCCGGGTGAAGCGCTCCACCTCCATGTCCCCCATGTCCTCGGGGTCCAAGCCGCAGTAGTTGAAGAAGCGCTCCAGGTCGGCCGTGGCTCGTGAATACCGGTCACTCAGGTCCGATTTGGAGCGGTGCAAGCAGGTCTGGCGCTTGGCGCTGTCCGGCCGCAGCTCGCCGCAGGGACTAGGGGAGTTCAGAGGACTGGCGGACAAGATCCGGGCCTGAGCCGGAGAGGTAGGGACGGGCGTCAGCTGGATAGCCGGGGTGACTCTGGCCCTCATTGGTCCGCAGGGCCGGACGTCCACTCTGCGCACGGCGACGGTGCTGGGCGGCTTAGAGGATGAAGAAGCCGAGCTTTGAGACAGCTTACTCATACCTTCTGAGGGGCCACTCTTTGTCTTTGGGGTGCCTGGGAGATACACAGGGCTTCTACTACGATCCTCAGACATCCACTTGGACTCCAGCGGGCTCTTCTCTGCTTTGGGGAAGGGCGAGAGTGGGCTGTCACAAAAATTGATCAGGTTGTTAAGGATGTCTAAGTTGAGGGAGGTCTTGGCCCCACAGCGGCTGCCTTGCGGGGTCTTGCGGCTCGGAGTCAGCATCACCCGCCTCACCCCCGGTGTGAAGAGCGGCTGTTTGAGCAACAGGGGCCTCACCGGTTCCTGCTTGGTGGTGGCCACTTGCTGGCTCTTGACGTACTTGGCCTTGTCGGCCTCCAACCTTTCCACGGCGCTCAGCTTCTTGGCAGCTGGAGGAGCACTGGCGGCTTGCCGGCGGAAATATTCAGGGCCCTTGTTGAGGATGCGGAAGGGCATGGCCGAAGTGAAAGGGGCTGCCGTCACCGAGATGCCTTTCATGGCGTGGCTGGCCTGGAGCGTCTCCACTGGCATGATGCTCCAGAGGCTGGAAGCCGCTTACCTCTTCCTACAATGTTTCTACTCCCACTTGGTTCCTGATGGGTGTCAAAGGCCGCAACGGGTCTCACATGCCAGGCTCGCCAACCCCAAATCTGTCTTGTCCAAACCGTACAGTGGAAGAAAATCTGTCCTTTCTAGACAGCATGCAATTCAGGTGTGGTAGCCGCTCACCTCTTCTTACAATGCTTTGTTTGGTACCGGATTTGTGATGGGTCTCACCAATGCTGAATCCGTCTTGTCAACCATTTAGCAGGAGAAAAACAGCCCTTTCCAAAGAGCGACGTTCTGCAAAGAAAGGAGGAAAAATCAGAGACGGATGAGTGCAAAGCCTGGAAATCTCTCCACGTTCACCAATGAAGCCTCCGTATCCTTGCACGCCTGGGTTGCTCGGCACAACAATGTTGGTGCGGCGGACACTGAGGAGCAGACAAAGGCAGTCTGGGAGGCTGGCTGTCTTGCCTGCTCTCTATCCCTCTCCCTCCCTGGAAAGACGGGAGCCAAGGGCTGTCTATTTCAAGGGAAAGCCCTGCCCACCTCTTTCATTAGGGCTGCTCTGCCAGCCAATGGGCCGCCACACAGGCGCTTCAAATAGGAACTTTGGCCTATCACGAGGCAGGAGGGGAAGAGAAAGGAACTCATTGAATGAAAATAAAAAGCCCAGAAGAAAGGAAGGAGGGGGAAAAACCCACACACTCTCTCCCCCACACCTCCTGTCAACTCCAGCCTCCGCTTGCTAGGCTATTATGGGGCGGATTCTTTTTCCTTTCCTACCACACCACCTCCGCTGACCCCTTCTCGCAGCTTCCCAGCATCACCTGTGCTTTTCCCATATAGGAGCAAATGATTTTGTTCTTCCTGGAGGGGGGAATGCATCAAGAAACCCCAAAGGAGAGGGGCATCAAAAGAGGCGCATTTGCATGACGTCTCATTAGCACGCAAGTCTCATGGTTGCCTTCCTGCAAAGGACTGAATGCATGGATCCTATGGGGCATCTCCCACTGCAGACTGAAGATCAAACAATGAGTGATTATCGTATTGTCGAAGGCTTTCATGGCCGGAATCACTGGGTTGTAGTAGGTTTTTTCGGGCTATATGGCCATGGTCTAGAGCAGTGTTTCTCAACCTTCCTAATGCCACGGCCCCTTAATACGCTTCCTCATATTGTGGTGACCCCCAACCAAAACATTGTTTTCGTTGCTACTTCTTAAATGTAATGTTGCTACTGCTATGAATTCTAATGTAAATATCTGATATGCTGGATGTATTTTCATTAACTGGACCAAATTTGACACAAATACCCAATACACCCAAATTTGAATACTGGTGGGGTTGAGGGAGATTTTATCCTTTGGAAGTTGTAGTTGCTGGGATATATTAGGGTTCACCTACAATCAAAGTGCATTCTGAACTCCACCAATGATCAACAGGAAATACTGGAAGGGTTTGGTGGGTATTGACCTTGAGTTTTGGAGTTGTAGTTCACCTACACCCAGAGAGCACTGTGGACTCAAACCATGATGGATCTGGAACAAACTTAGCATGAATACTCAATATGCCCAAATGTGAACACTGGTGGAGATTGGGGGAGATTGGGGGAAATAGACTTTGACATTTGGGAGTTGTAGTTTCTGGGATTTATAGTTCACCTACAATCAAAGAGCATTCTGAACCTCACCAATGATAGAATTGGTCTAAACATTCCACACAGAACCCTTATGACCAACAGAAAATACTGTGTTTTCTGATGGTCTTTGGTGACCCCTCTGACACCCCTTCACAACCCCTCCAGGGGTCCCGACCCCCAGGTTGAGAACCACTGTTCTAGAGGCATTCTCTCCTGACGTTTCGCCTGCATCTATGGCAAGCATCCTCAGAGGTAGTGAGGTCTGTTGGAACTAGGAAAAAGGGTTTATATATCTGTGGAATGACCAGAGTGGGACAAAGGACTCTTGTCTGTTGGAGCTAGGTGTGAATGTTTCACTCTCACAACCACCATGTCAGACTACACAGAAAAGCCATTGAAATCCACAAGCATGTGGACAATTTCAACAGAAAGGAGGAAACCAGGAAAATGAACAAAATCTGGCTACCAGTATTAAAAAAAACTCTAAAATTACAACAGCACAACAATAGAGAGGAAACAAACAAGGACATCTAATCACCTCTCAACAAAAGTTTGCTCCAGGCACTGTCAGGCCATTATATGCTAATCAAGGTGGTCAGTTGAAACATTCACACCTAGCTCCAGCAGACAAGAGTCCTTTGTCCCACCCTGGTCATTCCACAGATATATAAACCCTTTTTCCTAGTTCCAACAGACCTCACTACCTCTGAGGATGCTTGCCATAGATGCAGGCAAAACGTCAGGAGAGAATGCCTCTAGACCATGGCCATATAGCCCGAAAAAACCTACAACAACCCAATGAGTGATATCCATTGGGATGCTGCAAAGAGCTTTGTTCCATTTTAACGTTCACATGTTGTACAGTTTGAACAGCATTGTTTCTTCAAGTCCCAATTTTAGGGGAAAGGTGGGATACTATAAATACTGGTTAAGTGCTCCTCACCTGAAACGCCTGTTCCACATTTCAGATTTTGGAATGTTTGCACAATATATAAGGAGACATCTTGAAGATGGGACCCAATTCTAAGCACAACATTCATTTATGTTTCAGATACATTGTATACATATAGCCGGAAAGGTGATTTCATGTAATACGTACTTTCATCCAAATTGGGCATGAAATAAAATCTCTTTGCACTGAATCATCAGGAAGTAAAAAGTGGCACAAGAGATGAACGATTTGGGGGTTAGGGACACTGAATGTTTACAATGCTACACCTCTCTAGGAATATCTAGGTCAGTGGTTCTCAACCTTCCTAATGCCGTGACACCTTAATACAGTTCCTCATGTTGTGGTGACCCCCAACCATAACATTATTTTCGTTGCTACTTCATAACTGTAATTTTGCTACTGTTACGAATTGTAATGTAAATATCCGATATGCAGGATGTATTTTCATTCACTGGACCGAATTTGGCACAAATACCCTATACGCCCAAATTTGAATACTGGTGGGATTGGGAAGGGATTGATTTTGTCATTAGGGAGTTGTAGTCGCTGGGATTTATAGTTCACCTACAATCAAAGAACATACTGAACTCCACCAACGATGGAATTGAACCAAACTTGGCACACAAAACTCCCATGGGCAATAGAAATACAGGTGGGGTTTGGTGGGCATTGACCTTGAGTTTGGGAGTTGTAGTTCACCTACATCCAGAGAGCACTGTGGACTCAAACAAGGATGGATCTGGACCAAACTCAGCACAAATACTCAAATATGCCCAAATGTGGTGGAGTTTGGGGGAAACAGACATTTGGGAGTTGTAGTTGCTGGGATTTATAGTTCACCTACAATCAAAGAGCACTCTGGAACCTACCTACAATCGAACTCCACCAATGATGGAATTGTGTCTAACTTTCCACATAGAACCCCCATAACCAACAGTAAATACTAGAGGAATTGACAGTGATTGAACAATGATGGATCTGGACCAAACTTGGCACAAATATGTTAGCAGTTAGCTACTCTGACAAAATACTCAATATGCCCAAATGTGGTGGTGTTTGGGGAAAATAGACCTTGACATTTGGGAGTTTATTTCCTGGGGTTTATAGTTCACCTACAATCAAAGAGCACTCTGAAACTCATCAACGATAGAACTGGGCCAAACTTCCCATGCAGAACCCACAAGACCAACAGAAAATATTGTATTGTCGAAGGCTTTCATGGATGGAATCACTGGGTTGATGTAGGTTTTACGGGCTCACAACCTCTCAGGATGCTTACCATAGATATAGGAGAAACGTCAGGAGAGAATGCTTCTAGGACATGGCCATATAGCCCAAGAAACCCACAACAACCCAGAAAATATTGTGTTTTCTGGTTTCTGGCAACCCCTCTGGCACCCACCCGCCCCCCCCCCCCCCCCCCCGGATCTCCAGGTTGAGAAACGATGTTCTAGATCCTTCAGCATAAATCTACAATCATTCGTTGGTGAAAGCTGACCAAGGAGTTTAGCTGGAGAACTAAGAAATCCTTAGAACATTTTAATCAAATCCCCAAATAAGTGAATCTGCAGAAGTCAAATTTGCAGGAAACAAACTTGCAAATGTAGTCCTGCATTTCAGATTTTGGAACTCCACACAAGGGATGCCTGAACACCATCTAAATCTCCAAACTGGACAGCAAAGGCGAATGTAATTCATTTTGTTTGTTTCAAGAAAGACAGAAACCTCAGAGTTGAAAGGAACCCCAAAGGGTATCCAGGGCCCTTCCACACAGCTCTCTATCCCAGAAGATGGAAGGTGGAAAATCCCACAATAACTGCTTTGAACTAGATCAGTGTTTCTCAACCTGGGGGTCGGGACCCCTGGGGGGGTGTGAGGGGGTGTCAGAGGGTTGCCAAAGACCATCAGAAAACACAGTATTTTTTGTTGGTCATGGGGGTTCTGTGTGCGAAGTTTGGCCCAATTTTATCATTGGTGGGGTTCAGAATGCACTTTGATTGGAGGTGAACTATAAATCCCAGGAATTACAACTCCCAAATGTCAAGTCTCTTTCCCCCAAACTCCACTAGTGTTCACATTATTGAGCATTCATGCCAATTTTGATCCAGATCCATCATTGTTTGAGTCCACAGTGTTCTTTGGATGTAGGTGAACTACAACTCCAAAACTCAAGGTCAATGTCCACCAAACCCTTCCAGTATTTTCTCTTGGTCATGGGAGCTCTGTGTGCCAAGTTTGGTTCAACTCTATCGTTTGTGGAGTTCAAAATGCTCTTTGATTTTAGGTGAACTATAAATCCCAGCAACTACAACTCCCAAATGACAAAATAACCCACCCACCCACCCCACCCAGTATTGAAATTTGGGCGTTTCGGGTATTTGTGCCAAATTTGGTCCAGTGAATGAAAATACATCCTGCATATCAGATATTTACATTAATTCATAACAGTAGCAACATTACAGTTATGAAGTAGGAACAAAAATAATTTTACGGTTGGGGGTCACCACAAAATGAGAAACTGTATTAAGAGGTTACGGCATTAGGAAGGTTGAGAACCACTGATCTAGATAGATATATAGATATCTTTCAAGCATAGATTTGATAATGTGGGGTTTTTGCCTTGATCTTCTGGGATATAGGGCTGTGTGGAAGGGCCCCCAGTTCAACTCCCTTCTGCCAGGTAGGAAGACACAATCAAAGACCTCCTGACAGACGTCCTTCCTCCAAAGCAGGCAAGCTCACACCTTCTAGGGCAATGTATTACGTTCTTAAACCGTTATTACAGCAAAACGAAACAAAACAAAACCCAGTCTTTCTAATGTTTAGATTGAATCTTTTCTCTTGATATTTGAACCCGTTGGTTCATTTTCTGGTCTCTGCAGCCGCAAAAAGCATTTTTCAAGTTTCTTAAAATGTTATTGGCAGTTTAATTGCATTTTAA